ACCGCTAGGCAGCCACCCTTCTGTGCTCGCAAGATGAGCCAAAGAGCTCCTGATGAGGCATAGTGGTCAGTGTATGCCAGGACCATGGGGCTAGTGGTTCTCCTGGATAGGGTATCCCATCCTCTGAGTCCTAAATTTGGATTCCCTGCCTGCCACCATGGCCCTGTGCTTCTCTGGGCTTGTTGAGAGGGGTCTGTGATGGTTTGATGGCTCCCCTGTGATGGACCTGGGAGTATCTGGACAGGGTATTATTTGAGGCCATAGATGGCTATGTACTTTTTAGGAGAGAGAGGCCAGCAAGGCAGTGTGGTGGAGTTGCTCTTTATGTGAGGGAACAACTGGAATGCATCGAGCTCTGCCTAGCGGTGGATGAAGAACAGGTCGAAAGCTTATGGGTAAGAATTAAGGGACAGGCTGGGTGATGCTGTTGTGGGTGTTTACTGCAGGCCACCTGGTCAGGAAGAGGGAGTCAATGAGGCGTTCTACAGACAGTTTAAAGTAGCCTCATGATCACAAGCCTTGGTTCTCATCGGGGACTTCAACCACCCTGCTATCTGCTGGAAAGACCACACAGCCAGGCACACACAGTCCAGCAGGTTCCTGCAGAGCATTGATGATAACTTTTTGACACAGGTGGTGGAGGAGCCAATGAGGAGGGGTGTGCTGCTGGACCTTTTACTGACAAATAGAGCAGGACAGGTTGAGGATGTGGAGGTTGGGGGCAGCCTTGGCTGCAGTGACTATGAGATGGTGGAGTTCAGGATCCTGCGTGGAGGAAGCGGGGCAATAACTAAGATCGCATCCTTGGACTTCAGGAGAGCTACCTTTGGCCTCTGCAAGGACCTACTTAGAGGAATCCCATGAGTTAGGGCTCTAGATCGTAGGGGGGTCCAAGAGAGCTGATTACTATTCAAGCATCACTTCCTACATGCTCAGGATCCAGGCATCCCCATCTGTAAGAAATTGAGCAAAAACTAAAAAGTACATAGCCATCTATGACAGGGGATGTATCTTCTCAGGGGAGTGAGGCCACTGGGGGAATCCCATGAGGGATTATTGGAGGCTGTATTATGAGAGTTATTGGAGCCCATTTGTTTGCTTGGGAGCGGGGGTTAAGCATCAAGCGACCAAGTGTTCACTTCACTGCAGATCTCCCTGCTTTTAATTTGTGCCAGAAAATGGTATCGTCTTTAAAAATATGTGTGTGTGCGTGGGCATACTTATGTATATATAAAAACTTGTATCTATATACTGGACCTGTTGCTCACCACTTCAGAAGAACTTATTGGAGAGGTCAAGACTGGTGGTAGCCTGGGCTGCAGTGATCATGCCCTGGTGGAATTCATGGTCTCAAGGGGTACATGCCAGGCAATGAGTGTAGCCAAGAACATAAATCTTAGGAAAGTGAACTTTCAGTTCCTTAAGGGACTGGTAGATGGCACCCCCTGGGAAACTGCCCTCAGGAGTAAAGCAGCACAAGAGACCTGGCCGCTCTTTAAAGGTATTTTTGTTAGAGGACAAGAACGCTGAATTCCCACATGCAAGGAATCAGGAAAGGAAGGCAGGAGACCAGCATAGCGGAGTAAGGATCTCCTGGAAAATGCGTACGCAGTGGAAGCAGGCACACACATCCTAGGAAAACTATAGGGATACTGGCCAAGAGTTTAAAGATGGTATGAGGAAAGCTAAGGCCCAGCGGGAGCTAAATTTCCAAGGGATAATGAGCAACTCATTCTGGAGGTCATCATTGAGCAAGTGGAGGAAAAGAAGGCTATGAGAAGTAGTTGACATGAAATCACCAAGGGGAAATCATGCTTGACCCATCTGATAGCTTTCTACGATGGCATGACTGGCTGGGTAGATGAGGGGGGAGCAGTGGATGTTGTCTACCTTGACTTCAGCAAGGCTTTCGACACGGTCTCCCATAACATCCTCCTAGGGAAGCTCAGGAAGCGTGGGCTAGATGAGCGGACAGTGAGGTGGCTTGAGAACAGGCCGAATGGCAGAGCTCAGAGGGTTGTGGTCAGCGGTGCAGAGTCTAGTTGGAGGCCTGTAGCTCCTGGTGTTCCCCAGGGGTCAGTACTCGGCCCAGTCTTGTTCAACTTATTCATCAGTGACCTAGATGAAGGCACAGAGTGTACCCTCAGCAAGTTTGCTGATGACGCAAAACTGGGAGGAGTGGCTGATACACCAGAAGGCGAGACCTGGACAGGCTGCAGAGTTGGGTGCAGAGGAACCTGATGATGCTCAACAAGGGCAAGTGCAGGGTCCTGCACCTGGGAAGGAACAACCCCATGCACCAGTAGAGGCTCAGGGTGGACCTGCTGGAGAGCAGCTGTGCGGAGAGGGACCTGGAAGTGCTGGGGGATGACAACTTAACCATGAGCCAGTAGTGTGCCCCTGTTGCCAAAAGACCAGTGGTATCCTGGGGTGCATTAAGAGGAGTGTGGGGAAGACTGGAGCATCTCTCCTATGAGGAGAGGCTGAGGGAGCTGGGCTTGTTTAGCCTGGAGGAGACTGAGAGGGGGTCTGATAAATGCTTACAAAAATCTTAAGGGCGGGTATCAAGAGGACAGGGCCAGACTCTTTAGTGGTGCCCGGTGACAGGACAAGGGGCAACGGGCACAAACTGAAGCAGAGGAAGTTCCATCTGAACACGAGGAAGAACTTGTTTACTTTGAGGGTGACAGAGCCCTGGAACATGTTGCCCAGAGGGGCTGGGGAGTCTGCTTCTCTGGAGATACTCAAAACCTGCCTGGTCAAGGTCCTGTGCAGCCTGCTCTAGGTGACCCTGCTTTCGAAGGGGGTTGGTTGGACACGTACTGGTCTCTGGTTTCCATGAGGAGAAGCAGCTGTCACAAAAACAGCACCACATTAACCATCTCTTCTGTCTGGGGCAGTAGGGAGCATTGACTGCCTGTGCATGATGCCTGCGTCAGCCAGCTGGGCTGTGGCTGACCCAGTGACCCTGCTTTGGCAGAAGGGTTGGACTAGATGATTTCCAGAGATCCCTTCCAACCCCTACCATGCTGTGATTCTGTGATATCCACATCCACTTTATCCTTACTTCATTACAGAAATATTCCAAAGGTCCCATAGTGGTACAGTAGTTTGGAAGTCTGTGACGAACAGTCTTTTTGTATGAGATCCCATTTGAACTGTCTGAGGACACACAAGTACTGTCAGAGTCTCATGTCTGTAATTAGAGGACAGTGGTAGATGTGCTTATTAGGTATAGCAGTGAAATCACTACCTCAGTTGAGCTGGTTTAATTTCCAACAAGATGGTGTGAGAAAGGTTTGCAATTTTCATAAAGTATGTTCACTTATTTTGCATCCATTGGTTTCAGAATCCAAATCTGGGTAAAAAGTACCATGGTTCTTTCTGAAATGTCTCTCAAACATGAAAGCTTAGAGAAAATTTGTAGGGTAGAAACAAGCCTCCAAGGCGATCCTTTCTTAATATGTCATGTATTAGTTCAGACTGAATGAACTCTCTTTATTTATCTTTTCAGAGAATATCGTCCAGAATATGAGCGCCTGAGAAAAACACTGGTAAGTATTTTTAACTGTTGTATACATGGGAAGCAGATCTTGGGGTCACTTTTGTGCACACAATTGCCTCTATCTTGGGAGTGTCTAGCATTTCATTTACTAATCATACTCAGTGTGGTAAAACTCCTGTCCTGAAGCTCACCATCTGTCTTTTTTTCCTAGATTTGGTGGAGCATATCTTCACGAAAATAAAGATGTTTTGTAAAACAGATGTTGCTTGGTGTTTTAGTACTAATAATTTTTTTGAGCAAATTGTGAAAACATGATGGGGAAAGATTTTTATATCTTCCATTCAGAAGGAGGGAGACTTTTTAAAAATTACTTTCCACGTGATTTGTTGAGAATATCACTTCATCTTTCTGCACCAGTGAAGTGTACTGTTTTAACTGAGACAATTAGTAATGAAGACTGAATTGCAGTACCAAAATCAGTAGCTCTTTTCATCCTGAGTTCTGGCTGTCCGAAGGACAGTTCTCTGCAGGCACAACTTCGCTGAGTTTGGCTTCCTTATGCCGCTGAATATATATACTTGTTGAAGTCGGTCCTGCTGGAGTTTGCTTTCCATATTTATCCAAAAGTTCCGTGTAACTTAGTTGTAATGTAAGACCTGCTTACTGACTTCTGCTACCTAGCTGGGGGACAAACTGATAGTATTGGGTGAGATTGCTCTTCTACTGATGTTTTAAATGTACTTAGAACCCATATGTAACTTTGTACCTATAGGAGAAAGCTCAAAATAAGCAAAAGAGAGAGCAGCTGGAACACTTGTGGAAGGACATGGGCAGCGTGTGTGTGCAGGGCAACACACTTGCAGGTACATTGCAGGAAGATTAAGTTTACTGCAGAAGTTGTCTCAAGGGTCTGCCTTGAGAAGTCATATAGTGCTTTTCTGTCTTAACAGAAAAAGTGTGAAAGCAGCTTTATGTTAGTAAAGATGAGTGGGGCTTTAGTTCCTGTGGGATGGGTCAGACTTGGCTCTTCTGTGTGTCAATCACAGACATGAGAAGAAGAAACCCTACTGTGTAGATATGGCAATGGATGTGTTGCACACCACACCGGGTAACAAACTCTGTTGGTGAGACAACAGACGTATTAGAAGTAATGACATACTTCAGAAAAAGTGAAGCAGTCAAATTGGAATATGAGAAAGTTCTGCTGTTCGTTGAACTGTTTCCTCATATGATGTTGAGTATGGTGCTGATGCAGTCTGTCCTGTGTCTTTGGAATCCAGAAGCAGCTTTCTGTCCCTTGAGAGTAGGTATTAATTGCTGTGTTTATGTGCAAATAGAAATTGTCTAGGCATAACAGGGCATGAGTTAACTTTCTTGTTAAAATGCTGGTTTGTGTATAGCCATTTCTGTTCCTTCCAAGGGTCTGATGATTCTTCTGCAGTGGGTCCCTCTGAGCTGATCCTAACACGAGGAACTCTTGATGAAGAAGAAGAGAGGGAGAGTGATACTGATGACATTGACCATGAAGGTAAGGGAATGAGGGATCTGATCTGAAAGATGCCTGTCTAGTCAGGAAATACCCTCTGTATTTCATTAACTGGATTGACTGTAATGAGAGCCTAGAAAATAAGCAAAAATTGTCACCCAAATACAGGTGTCTGAATCTGTAGCAGAAGCCCAGCTGCAGTGCTTAGTCCAGTGATACCACTCTCTAACCTTTGTGAAAATTCAATTGTAAATTTTCTGTTCAAGTAATTATTTTTAATAGGTGTATATAATATGCGTAAACTAGATGACTTGCTATGCTCAGAGCATGCAGTGACCTCTGAACCTGATTAACACACGATATGTCTTATCATCTGTTTGACCTTACAGTTTCTGCCCCTGGTTCTCTTCTGTTTTCCTGTGACTCCTGATCTTGGAGCAATCTTCTGAATTCTTACAGTGTGTGATTTTTCTCCTATATAGCTCGCAGACTTAATCTTCATTCTTTCCCTGTTCCATTTATATTTAGGATCACTTCTTTTCCCTTGTAATGAAGTTGAAGATCAAATAGACTTTGTGTTGCTCTGACTAGCCTGACTCTAGCTTTCTTGAGTAACACAAGTAGAGCAAGTGCTGAAATAGGGCTGAACTGTGGATTTTTTTCCCCCCAGTTACTGAGGAGAGTCATGAAGAACCAGCCTTCAGAAACTTTATGCAAGAGATGCGGATGAAATACCAGAGAAGCAGCAACCTGAATGAATGAGAAAGTTTGGAATCCCTTGTAATGGAGTTAAAAATAATAGAACAGCATAAAGAAACTTGTATGGAACCATGGATGAAGTCTTCTGTCAACAGCTTCTTCTGATACATTTGTATCTTTCTTCCTGCAGTAACCATTGGTCATGTGAGTCGAAGGCCTTGTATCCAACTGGCTGCATGTTTGGTCATCTGCCACTGTGACTTCTTGAAGCTGAAGGAACCAGATAGCACTTTCGTTTGCTCCACATTCTTTAGATGTGCCTGTTGAGAGCTTAGATTCTGAGCTCTGACAGCATTAGCATCTAGAGTACTTACTGCTCTCCAAAAGTGCATTCTGTTCACCTTCACCTTGTGTAGACAGGTATCTTCTGCAGTCAGGACACAAGTGAAATCTCCACTACATGAAACTTCATCAATCTAGTGTTTGATGTTTTGATTTTAATTAAATATATTTTATGTACTAACAAATGTGTGGTGGTTAATAGCAGGAGATTTCATTTTGCCGTTCTAATGTGAGACTTTTTTTCTATGCTTACAGCCCACAGCAAATGCATCTTAATTACATTACATAGACACAATACCTGCTAGGAAAATCTTGAGTAAAGAAAGTTCCCAGGAGGGAAAGTAGTAAAAAGAATCAGTCTTGATTCAGCTGAGAGCTGAAGTACACATGGTGTGTACTGGCTGCATATATCTGCAGGTAACATAAACCAAAGGCATTTCTATAGATGAATGCTTACGTGGAATGTAAACAAGGACTTAGAGATTGGATAGTACTTATTTTCCTTGTAGGCACCATGGGCATAGATGTTCACTTGCTCTTTACCATTCTGAACTCTGGAATCTGTTTTCTTTCCCTCCACTCAATGCTGTAGCCTCACTAGAGAGGGAGTACAGTAGGAATCTGGCAGCAGGATCTGCTAGCACAGGTTCTGTAGGTTTGTGGGAAAAGAATTTCTGTGAAATTTAAAAGCATAGCTGGCAGGGAAGGGCAATTGACAACTAGCTGTTACCTGCCAGCTCTGATATGCTTACTGCTTGATTGATGTAGGGCTTTCCAAGAGTGTGACAATTTCAAATTTAGATAAACTAGACTGATCCTAGGAAGAAGTATTATCAGAAGCAAAGCTGAAACAAAAAATTTATAGCGTAGTTAGTGGTCAGGTTAAAGTAATACACTTGTTGTTAATCATAGAATAGTTTGGGTTGGAAGGAAGCTTTAAAGGTCATCTAGTCCAACCCCCACTGCAATGAGCAGGAACATTTTCAACTTGATCAGGTTTCTCAGAGCCCCAGCCTTGAATGTTTCCAGGGATGGGGGATCTAACAGCTCTCTGGTAAACATGTTCCACTGTTTCATGACCCTCATCATAAAAAATGTCTGAATCTACCCTCTTTTGGTTTAAAACCATTACCCCTTGTTGCAACAAGCCTTACAAAAAGGTCTGTCCCCATCTTTCTTGTAAGCCCACTTTAAGTACTGAAAGGCTGCAATAAGGTCTCCCCAGAGCCTTCTGCGGGCTGAACAACCCCAACTCTCTCAGCCTTTCCTCATAGCAGAGGGGTTCCAGCCCTCTTATCATTTTTGTGGTCTCCTCTGGACCCGCTCCAGCAGGTCCATGTCTGTCCTGTGCTGAGGGCTCCCGAGCTGGATGCAGGACCCCCTGGGGGGTCTCCCCAGAGCAGAGCAGAGGGGCAGAATCCCCTTACTCGCCCTGCTGCCCATACTGCTGGGGATGCAGCCCAGGATATGGTTGGCTTTCTGGGTTACGAGCACGCATTGTTGGCTCATGTCCAGCGTTTCATCCACCCACTGCTCATAGTTTGGATAGCTGCTCATGGTTTGGATGGGTGTATGCTTTGCTGGGTAAAAAACTGGCTGAATGGCCGAGCCCATAGAGTGATGGTGAATGGAGTTAAATCCAGTTGGCGGCTGGTCATGAGTGGTTGTTCCCCAGGGCTCAGTTTTGGGGCCTGTCTAGTTTAATATCTTTATCAATGATCTGGATGAGGGGATTGAATGCTCCCTCCGTTAATTTGCAGATGACACCAAGTTGGGCAGGAGTGTAGATCTGCTGGAGGGTAGGAAGGCTCTGCAGAGCAATTTGGACAGACTGGATCGATGGGCCAAGGTCAATTGTATGAGGTTCAACAACAGGGCCAAGTGCTGGGTCTTGCACTTGGATCACAACAACCTCATGCAATGCTACAGGGTTGGGGAAGAGTGGCTGGAGAGCTGCCTGGCGGAAAAGGACCTGGGGGTGTTGGTCGACAGCCAGCTGAACATGAGCCAGCAGTGTGCCCAGGTGGCCAAAAAGGCCAATGGCATCCTGGCTTGCATCAGGAATAGTGTGGCCAGCTGGAGTAGGGAAGTGATCATGCCCCTGTAGTGGGCACTGGTGAGTCTGCACCTCAAGTACTGTGTTTGGTTTTGGGCCCCTCAGTACAAGA